CTTCACTACCCACGTCCTACCCCATCCTAGGAAAAGGGAAGGCAGTGATTCACAACTGAATAAGTCACTTCCCTCTGGCTGAATAGGGATTCCAAGTGGAAGACACCCCTGATGCCAGGATTTATAGAATGTACATGTCTTATAGATACAAATTTTAAAATCCTCAATCTCGTCTGTATAATTTAAACAAGTTTTCAGTTGTTAGATTATATACACGGAAGTCAACATGTCACAACTAATCATATCCAATGAACTCCCGCACTCATCTAAACCCAAAGTCTCTCGCCCCTTTTTTTCTTTTGAGCCAAGATCTCTCTCTGTTGTCCAGGCTGCAGTGTAGTGACATGATATCAGCTCACTGCAGCCTGGACCTCCTGGGCTCAAGTCATCCTTCCAGCTTGGCCTCCAGAGCAGCTGGACTGAGTACAGGTGCACACCATTAGGCCCGGTTATTTACTGGTTTTGTTTAGTTTTTCTTTTTTTGGCAGAGATGGGGGTCTCACTATGTTGCCCAGGCTTGTCTCGAACTCCTGGACTCAAGCAATCCCCTTGCCTCAGTCTCCTGAAGTGTGGAGATTACAGGTGTAAGCCACTGTGCCCAGCCCCTCTGTCTTCATTACAGTGCTTCCTTCCCTAATTCTGTACCTATCTCTCATTCTCCCCTTCTCTCTCTAGCTCTTCTTTTCTTTCTCCCTGGGATTCTGTTCTTCATTTTGTACCCTTCTCCTCTTCTGCTGTTTATCTCCTTCTTCCCTCTATTCCTTCTCTTCCACCTCTTCTGCTCCATCCTGGCAACTTATTAACCTCTTAATGCTCTTTCTCCCCAGTCTTTCAGTTGTCCTCAATCTCCATCTATTTCTGTCTCTTCTCCCATCTCTGAGCCTCCTCTGCTCTCCCTGTTAAATTCTCTCTTCCCTGACATACTCCCCTGTCCCCACTCTGTGGCACCCCAGATGTCCAGGTGTCCTCCCTGCTGTGCTTCTCCCACTGTTCTCCTTGACACAAGCACCACTCTGCTCTGTCTGTCCTGGCTCCAAATCCCTCCCTCTCTCCCTCACTCTGATGAGCCTCCCTCTTTGCTGCCACTCCCCCTACCTTGCCGTCCTTCATCTCTCTGTACATCTAGCTTTTCTCTACATTTCTCCAGTTGCTTTTCTTCTCCTGCTTTCCTAGGTTTTTTTGTTTCCTTTTTTTCCCACTTTTGCCATCTCCTGGCATATCCCTTACCAATCCTCTATTTTCCATCTGTTATGGGCCTTTCTTATTCTTCTTTTCTCTGTCTCAGGTTTTCTACTGCTGTCTGCCTCCTAATCCCTTCGGCCTACACAATCGCAGGAAGGTTTGGAGTAAGATGCCTGCATCCCGAAGGAGCGCATTTTCCAGGGGCTGAAGCACGGCAGACAAGAAGACCCCGTGTCACAGGACAGGCCCCTGGGACCTCCCCAATGCGGGTTCAGTGGAAGCGGTGACTGCGGAGGGGAGACCTGGGGAGCAGCAGGCTGTGGCAAGAGAAGGGAGGTTGGTTGCGGGGCGACAGCGCCTTAGGACAAGGATATAGTCTGCAGGATCCCAGGACCCAACAGAGGACTCGATCTCCCCGGGACTGAGGCTGCGGCACGGCGCTCCAGGGCCCAACGACGGGGAGGCTGCAAGGCGCGCCCTGGGCAAGAATCCACCTCACCGGTGAGGACTTTAAATAGCGCGGGGCGAGATGAGTCAGGGCGGGCGCAGTGGCTCAAGCCTGTAATCCCAGCACTTTGGGAGGCCGAGACGGGAGGATCACAAGGTCAGGAGATCAAGACCATCCTGGCGAACATGGCGAAACCCCGTCTCTACTAAAAACACAAAAAATTAGCCGGGCGAGGTGGCGGCGCCTGTGGTCCCAGTTACTGGGGAGGCTGAAGCAGGAGAATGGCGGGAACCCGGGAGGCGGAGCTTGCAGTGAGCTGAGATC